CCGACGACAAGTAATTTTTCCTTTCGGGATTCAAATAATCCTTGAGATGTCCGACCTAATGAAATAGGAGGCAATGCATAGTCGTGCACGACAACCTCTCATAATACTCAATATTTTTCTTGTATCATCTTTTGTATAATTTATACCTTTTCTTGCTAAGATTTTCTTTACTTGGTCTACATTTTGATGTGTAAGTCGACGATGCCATGATGAGAGAGTTTCTACTTTATCCACAAGATAACAACTTGATATATCAAAATAATCCTGTTTAGCATTACACACCGAACTATAATCATTGTTTCTTGGCTCTGATATTCCATTTTCTTGCTTAAAACTCATTTTACAGAGTTTGTTGTATCTTTCTACTCTGGCTCGAACCTTACCTTCTCTATCTACAAACTCGCAGTATTTACTATTTGTAATTAATTGATAACCTTTATCCATTGCATGTCCGACAGAGAACAAGTTGAATTTTAGATCAGGTACGTACAAAGCGTCGGACAAAAACGTTTTAATGAAATCTGATCCAGTCCATGCATACAACACAACAGTACTTTTTCCTTTAACATCTAGTAAAGTTCTATTATCTATTTTTATTTTCTTGATTTCTTGCCTTTCACAAAATATCTGAAACATCTTCTTGTCGTTACACATGTGTTCACTTGCTCCAGTGTCCATAAACCAATCCTTAGAATTACTTGATCTGTTATCTCCTATAAATGCATTAACCTTAGATTTGTTTTCTGTCTCTTTATCCTGTTTTATTTCTTTATCTTTTTCGTTCTCTTTAGTTTTTCGAAACCAACAGTTTTCACTTGCATGGCCTAACTTCTTACAATGGATGCAATTTCTCATATTCATTTTCGAGTTTTCATTTTTCTTATACTGTTTGGCTGTATGTCCTGGTTTTTGGCATATAAAACAATTTATTTTCTTAAAATCTTTGTTATCCTTATTGTGTCTGAAGTTTCTTCTACTGCTAGTATTTGCCAATGCACTTGCATTATCTTATGACTTCATTCTTTCTTCTTCAACCAATAACCTTGCTGTCAATTCCTCAAGATTTATTTCTCGATAGGTACAAATTCCCATGCTGACCTAAAATGCTTATATGTTTCTGGTAATAACATTATTATCTTAGTCATCATTATTTTCTCTGACAATTCCTTACCTGCTTGCTTTAGCTTATTTCTGATCTCTTCCAACTGTGATATATATGTTGACACTGACTCTCCAAACTCTGGCATAAAGAATCTTTGCTGAAGAAGGTGAATAGTTACTACAGATTCTTTGTGTATACTGATTTTAACTTCGATCACATTTCTTTTAACGTGGTACATGACAACAGATGGGTTAAAGGTCCTTGCTCTATCCGTATCACCAAAATTTCTTGAGCTTTTGCATCCCTTTTATCCCAGTCTTCCTGTTCCTGTACTACCGACGATCTTGGTTTTTGACCTTCCACTATGTCGTATAAACCTCGCCCTTTTAGAATGACTGAGGTTTGAAATTTCCAAACTATCCAGTTTTCTCCATTCAACTTGATAATTGGTACTACAGTTTGATCCATTTTTGTAAATATTCTCGCGTATTATTACCAGTTCTAACCAATGACAATCTCTTTGATATAACCTCTCAAATTATTAATTACACGCTCCTTGTTTTTACACTCACTGTGTGTCTGAGTCCATAACCAGTTGATAATCGGGTTATAGGTATGTTCAATAATTCTAACAATTTAGCGTGTATAAAGCCTTTTATAAAGATTATAAAATACAACGTTACAAGCAAGAAGTTCGCATTTCAAGAGATAACAGAAAACAAGCTGCGCGAGTGAAAGATAAAGAAACGAGAAAGGAAGTAATATACAAAAGGCGCTACCCGATCAGTCTTCTTCTTCTTTGGTTGGCCCGGCAGCCGTGACTGGCTGGAACTGGGCCATTGAGGTCTGCGTGTTAGAGAGTAAAATGTAGACGGCGTGTGTACAAAGGTTAAGTCAAGCATATAAGTGCCGATACTGCCGGTGTCATTCCCCCCCCCCCCC